AACTTCAAAATAATTAGTAATTATAATAAATCAATTTTATAAGATTAAAAATCTTCTTGAAATACACAATATATTTAGGATAAATGCTTTTATCAAACCATAAAATAATACTATATAATTTATTTCTTAAAATAATATAAGTTAGATAAACATTAAAATAGTTGGACAAAGTAGTAAGTACTTAATTTAAAAATTGTATACACACTATATCTACCATGGTTGGATACATAGTTATATATTATTTTTTTAACTTGCTAACTGTACAATATAATAAGAATGGTAACAATAATAAGTATTAATTATTTAGTACCTAGAATTCAAAAACTAAATAGCGATTCAGGACAATAGAATTTTAAGACAGAATTTCATTAGTTATAAATACTGAAAATGTAGCAATGTAGATAAGCACCAAAATAAATAGATACAATTAAAAGTTTAATTAAAATATTTACTAGTAACCAAAATTTACTAAATACTAGAAATTTATAATGCACTTTTAATACAATAAAATCTTAATCAAAAAAATTATATTTTTAGTATAATAACATATATACCACTAATTACTGTTTCATTAATATATTATTAATATACATATATATATTATAATATATATATATATATATATTATAATATAAATATTTGAAATTAAAATTTTATAAATAAAATTCTATATTGGGAAAACAATAAATTTAAACATACACCCTGACTGACACATTCAATTTTAAAAGTAAAATATATTATGTGTTAAAATAAAAACAATTTTTTTAAGAACACAGGATTTTATGCTACACTAGATAAGCAGCCGGTGTCATCAAATTAATTTTGTTGCACTTATTGATATTTTATTGGTTGGTAATTGTCAATTGAACATGGAAATGGCCATATAAGCTTCTTCGGTTATTCGGTAAATTGCATAAATAGTTTACAATTTTTCCTACCCAAAACATGGTTGATGAGCTTCAATTAAATTGTATTTTTTTGCTAATCTGGTATACGGTATACTCATATACTCATAACAACATAATATTGTTTTATATATGTCTATAATTACACTATAGAAACTTGTGTTTAACACATCTATTATTTACATGGATACAGATTTTAAAGAATTAATTTCTCTTTGGATATTATTCCTAGCCACTGATTCATATTTATCTCTATAGAACTTTGTAGCATATATGTTAGGAATTTGTAGAAAACTTTCAAGAACCTGTCAACATAAAATATTTACAAATAAAATAAAACTATATATCATCAACATGACAATGTTAGAATGTGACTATAATTATTTACCTTTATACGTAATTCTTTATATGTTTCTTCATCAAGGAAAGCATATTCTTCTCGAACATGGTTTGTGTATTTTTCATAATCAGCCGGTCCCATACCTAGAATGGCCATGTCTACATCCAAAAAGTAATGTTTATCCTCACATCCATAACATCCTTCAGTTTTATGCTCTTCTGTACTATTAGTTGCACCAACTTTTAATAATGAAATAACATTGTCACACAAAACTGTATCCTGGAAAGAAAAAAAAGAAACAATGTTTTAAAACAAAAAAAAACATATACATTAAATAATATGGTAAATTTTTACCATATTAAGTTTTGATTCTTCGGAGAACCTTTTGAAATGGTTTATATTGTCTTCACTACAGTCAGCTAACTTAGGGTCATATTCAAAACTAAAATGAGTTTATAAATGTGTTATATATATTTTATTCAAGACTTAAGTGTTTCAACTTACTATCGAAAAATTATAGCTAAAATAACTGCATTTGGATTTTTTACTAAAGGTCTGGCTGTTTCAAATTGTTGCAAACAGTCATTTAAATCATCCAGACCGTGACAACGACGGTCAGGTGAACTGTAACGGTCTATCAATGCTCTCATCCAGACGTCTCTGACTGATTCGTGCACATCATTCGACAGTGATCCATTAAAATATTTTCTCAACATTGCTAAGTTCCTAATCAAACGGTGAAAAATATTTATATTTATGTGAATAATACAGAGTACGGATGGATAGATTCACACACTTTTTCAGTACTCAGCTGTGCAGAAATGTATGCTTGTGAAGTTATTGATTTTTTAGCATAAAGAAAATTGAAACGATTTGGTAGAACCTCCACAATAACACTTATACTTACAAATGTCAATTTCTTTTTTTGTATTTTTTACCTTGTTCAATTAAAAAATAGTAGGTACTAGGTAACTATGAATTATGAAAGATGAAACTATGAAATTTATAAGAAATGAGAATATTAATTGTATATAAAAAATTACATTTCATAAAAAGGCTACAATAGCATATTTATTGTAACGACATTGGTAACACTGTATAATTTTATCAGGACAAATCGTAAAATCATTAATCAAAGTTAAAAACAAACATCGAACATTTAAAAACATAACATCAAGTTACGTTTTTATTTTTTTTACTTTTATAATAATTTTTAATTTCGCAATATCGCAGAATAATGATTAACGATCGACCTCAATGATGAGGAATCAATACTAAAAAATTGTGAATATATATGAAAAATAAAATAATTTAAATGTAGAAATTATACTAATTGAGTACTTTAATTTATTGACAGTTGAGAATATTATTTTCTCCATAAGCGGTAACGCGATCAACAATGCCATGATTTTGGCTTGGCCGCTACTGATCGCAGTCCTACTRACATTCTGTGTACATTCAGCTCAGCCATCTACAGGGCCTGGTAAAACGACCATTTATGAAACAGAATGTAAACATCTACGAATGGGTCAGTTCATGTGCCCTGATGATGGGTAYGAATTCATCGACCCAGAGACACARCAGTTACGTGGATGTACCAAAGAMAATGTTGCTCAAGGTTTTGAATAACTCAATCCATTCGTTATTGCTTATCATTGTTTTAAAATTAATTATACAATTATTGTTAATTTKTAATAGTTCGGTGTAAAGCAAGTGATGGTATTGTGTGTTTGGAAACCAAAAACTCAACATTTTGGAAAGAATTTCCATGTAAATGGACGTAAGTTAAAATTGCTTTGTGTCTCAACTAATCGTCTAATCTAAATTACCTTACTATTATTTGTATTCTAGTAATGGTTACCATTATGATACAACACTATTATTGTCCATTTTTTTGGGCATGTTTGGCGTAGATCGTTTCTACCTAGGTTACCCGGCTATTGGTCTACTGAAACTATGCACTCTTGGATTTATGTTCATTGGCCAATTGGTCGACATAGTACTTATAGCAACTCAAATTGTTCGTCCSGCTGATGGATCACATTATATCATTCCTTATTATGGTCCCGGCATTAACTTTATACTGATGGACAATGAAACTTACAGACAACCACAAGATGATTGGTTCGTTGATCATAATGAACTATAAAGTGTTATAAAAATTATTATAAGTATCTAGATTAAGTGTACTTAYTATTATCACCATTAATGTTATAATTTTATGAGATGTATCAATTTTTTATAATATAAATCACATTTGATACCAAATTTAATTATTCCAGTAGTTACCCACTACCATAAAAAAATCATATTTTTAAATGTACATTATAATAATATATTACCTAGGTATATCAGAGGTATCCAAACTTTTTYAGCACGCGGCTCTTTTGGGTATTCACAATATTTTTACTGCTACCAAATTATTATGAAAATATTGAAACAACACACGGATACAATATGGGAAATATGTTATATGGGTGATAATAACAGTGAATTTC